GTGTTGCCCGATTGATACGGGCGAGGTCGGCGGTAGCAGTGTAGCATCGTGTCAGGACTGCAGTGGCCCACAGCATCAGACGAGGCCCACGGGACCCGCTCCGGAGGTCAGCTCCAGAGGAGGCCGACGCGACCCGCTCCGGGGTCAGCTCCAGAGGAGACCGACAGGACACGCTCCGGAGGTGAGCCCCAGAGGAGGCCGACAGGACCCGCTCCGGAGGTCAGCTCCAGAGGAGGCCGACAGGACCCGCTCCGGAGGTCAGCTCCAAAGAAGGCTGACCCTGACCGCGCCGCCGACCGGTGTCGGGCGCGTCAGGCCGCTGACGCGGCTGGACCTCATGGTGCGCCGGGCTCCGGCCAGAGACCGTCCACCAGTGCTGACACCGACCAAACACTGCCTACCAGTGCTGATGACTGGCGCCATGCTGACCGACTGTGACCCGACCGTGACCCGACGCTGATCACTGACCCGAGCGGTATCAGCCGTACAGGGCCCGCCCGATCCGCTAACCCGAGGTCGGCCCCGGCAGTGCGGTCCAACGCGGACGGTGGAGGCCCTAAGCATCGGGACAGGGAGAGCGCAGTAGAATGCAGTGGACGTTTCCGACTACCGTGCTGCTCCTGCTGCTCCTGACACAGAGAATCCAGGCCAACTTCATGTTACAGCGGCTCTCCAACCTCCTCGCTCAGAACAGTGAGTCAGCTGCATGTCCTGCCCTAGGTTCGCAGCAGGCATCAGCGCAGTCCACTGCCGAAACCCCTGTCACATGGCCGTCCAGCATTATAACGGCATCAAAGGAACGCATAGCACTATTGAAGCTTGCCACGACCCAACACGGTCAATTAGTCACGCACCGGGCTCGTCGCGTACACATTCGTCCCTTTGATTCCCAGAAGTACCCATAGGTCCCCAGGCAGGTATAAGGCTGATTCCCAGATGAGCCCGCAGTAGCTCAGGTATATTGCTGTCATTGGCATCGATTTTATTTGGTATATGGAGCTTAATGTCCCGAACTTAATAACTTATCCCAATGTGCTTCAAAGAGTCGAGTACCTACTGTGAATAATGCTTCCAGCCGGATCTTGGTCGCACACTGCAGTAACTGTCACCTCCCTTCGTCTGACCTTTGGGGGTCAAACTGTAACGTGAGACGTGAACTATTTCCATGTCATAACACCACATCGCGCAGCTTCCGCAAATACCACAAGTCGCTTTGGTTCCTCGGTCCTGAAAATACCTCCGAGCCGACCTGAACGAACACAATTGACCGTAGCGCCGTCGTCCGCCCGACCCAGGAGGGGATATCACGCATGGGGAACGTCATCCATCACACCAGTCATTACCGGCCGCCTCGGAAGACACACTCAGCTTCCGACACCAGCTGATTAATGTCATTGCTCCACTTTACGTCACATTGTGCTCTGTAAATCGTTCAGCTTTGAGAATGAACGTTTGCGATAACATTTGCAGACGGCTTAATCCCATAATATACCGCCCTGCAATAGGGATCTGACTGAAATATGACTGGCTGCTCAGTGAATGATGCTATCTTGCAGCAGTCTGAAAGCATACAATATTTCAATTTCCTATGGTGTTCGATATGCGGCGACTCCTTGGTATTTTGTGGCCGCTACAGGGTGCAGCCGTACAATCGCTGTATTGAGGGTGTGTGGCCGTAGTGTCCATACGACCTCCGCGTTGGGGGGGGGGGGGGGGGAGAGGACGGCACGCTTCACAGCTCAGAACAGCACTACTGCTTTCCTCCGGGACCGCACGTCTGTTGTGTGATCTCTGTATGACTGTGTATGGTCTCGGTGTGACTACAGCCGTGAAGCGAGCGGTGCTCTGCCTCCGCTGTCATCTGAGGTACATTCGCGTCCTCAGTATGACCTTAGTGTGACATTAGTGTGACTTCGTTCGCTTAGCGCACGGCACTCTGCTTACCACTGTTGCGTCTGAGGTGCGCTTGGGGTGGACTTGTATGGCCACTGCGTGACCTTTGAGTGACCCCTGTGACCTCTGCGGATCGGGAACTCCCTGTACGACGCTATTCTGGGAGGTACGCCGACGCCGTGCGACCTCCGTGTGACCTTCTTGCGGCTGCAGCTTCGCAACGGGCGCTGTTCTGCTTGTCTGTCCTCGGAGGCTCGCGCCCTCTGTGTGACCCCTGTGTGACCCTTACGCGATGGCACCTGGGGAGCTAACGGTGCTTTGCCGGCCGCTGCTCTCTGAGGCAAGAAGCCTCTATGATTTCGGTGTGTCTGCAGCTGTCAAATGAGCAGCGCTGTGTCCGCCGCTATTTTCTGAAGTGCGTGGCCGCTGTGACCCCTGTGACCTCTGTGTGACCGCAGCCGTGGAGCGGGCGGCGCTGTGTCCGCCCCTGTTCTCGGAGGTGCGCGGCCGCTGCTACCACTACGGCTCGTTCCTGGCCAGCTGGTTCCGGGCAGCCGAATATTGTCACAGCATGGGAGAGCATGTCAGCCTGGCCTGCGTGGACGACTCGGTCGAGAACTGGGCCATTAAACGCTGGCTCCTCTTCAACGGTGGGCGCCGGCGTCGACTGCAGAGCGCGTCGCGGAACATGAACCAGGAGCTTAGCAAACATGTCCCGGTGTCGGCTCCCAACACCGCCGTGAAAATTATTGGCATCGTATCATCGTTCAGTAGCTGCTTCATGTCAGTCCCTGTCTGAATGGAACGCGTCTGCTTCATTCGACTGCACTAATAATGGGTGTAAGACAGGATGTTGAATCACTTTGTGGTGATTTGCCGAGTTCACTAACGGGATCGGTGTGATGACCATTTGCGGTCCTGCTTCGCTCGGAGCGCTGACAGCTACGTGCGCGCTTTTCGTCCCGGCCTCGGTCATGTGGCCGCGGACGCGTCGGACTGTAATGAGATCACAACCCGCAGGCGATCACAAGACGGGCGCGTGGATAGGAGGATCGGACAACGGCCACCACGGCATTTGGGCCTGGTTTCCGACGGGTGAGTCCGCGGAGCGCCGGCGTGGAAACCGCTCCCCGGGTTATCTCCGGACCCCCCACCAAGCCTAGGTCAGACCATGTCAGCCGACACATGGCACACATGTGTCGCCTCGAGAGCTGTCCGCCTGACTTCCTCCGTGCGTCGGAGGTGTGGCTATACACCATTCGAACAAAGCGCGCCGTCACTCTGCACCCCTGCACCGTCACGGGCATCGTCACTCTGCACTCCTGCACCGTCACAGGCACCGTCACCCTGCACCCCTGCACCGTCACGGGCGCTGTCACTCTGCACCCCCGCACCGACACGGCACCGTCACTCTGCACCCCCGCACCGTCACGGATACTGTCACGGACGTCGTAACTCTGCACCCCTGTACCGTGACGGTGCAGGGGTGGGCCGACCGCACCGTCGTGTGCGGCCGACCGCGTCGGCCACCTTTGAGAGGGCGCCGAGTGTTGTCAAAAGACTTTACTGGTGAATCCGCGCGCCCACTGTCCCGCTGCTTGTGACCTACAGCGGTCGCGGTCCGCTAATGACCCGTGACTTGTGCGTGGCAGGTCAGCAGGTGCGGTTCGCCGACTGGGGGCCGTCGCAGCCCACCGGCGGTGATCAGCACTGCATGTACATCGTGGGCGGCATGCTGGGCTACCAGTGGGCCGACCTACACTGTGACTTCGAGATGAACTTCATCTGCGAGTACCGTGCCAACCAGGTCACGCCGTGGTGGCGTTAGACCGGCGATGGGCCGGTCTGGAGGAGCCACCCCGTCCAGCAGGAGCCTTTCAACTGACCTGGCGTAACGGCTCCCCCACAGACGACTAGCACGCACCCCGGAGCGGCGGCGACAGCGGCTCCCGCTGGATTGGCGGGAGCCGCACTGCTCCCTCTGGATTCCTGTGCGTTCGTGACGGGTGACCGGTGGCCGACCGCGGGCCGATGGCGTCGTGGCGGGCTGCCTGTGGCCGAGTCCTGGCCGATGGCGTCACGCCGTGGCCGGCGGACGGACGCCGCGCTGTAATGGACGCTCGGCCACGTCCAGAGACCGTACCGTGACGCCGTGGGACGGGGCCGTGGCGCCCTGAGGCCACAGTGCGACGCCCTGGGACTAGGGCCTGATGTCCCGGGTGTAGTAACATTCCACTGACATCAGTAGGCCGTGTTCTGGTGCAGTGACAAACAATTTAGCCATGCCTCACCGAGAAGCCCAGATTCCAGCGGCGGCTGGTTTAACCGTGCGTGTCTCTGGCGTCTTGGACAGCGATCGCTTGGAGAATTTAGCTGACTATAAAGATGGACGCTGGACAGGTGCTGCCGTACCGACAGCTGACAGCTCTGGGTGACGGATGTGAGTGATAGACATGCTGGACGTGCCGGAACGTATCACTATGAGTGTGGTGATGCACTGTCTTGACGCTGTCCGCACGCAGGGGCGTGTGCACGTAGCAACCCCCCTGGCACGTGCACATCCGTTGACAAATATTTGACATACACGGGTAAAAGCAAGCAAATCGTGAAGATGCAACGATTTTCGCAATGCACAAAACATTGCAATCTCCTGACAAACACCGAACATGATTCTCAGTGCTACTTTTTTAATTGTGACATTTAAACGTGACCTTTGCATTGTGACACCACGTGAACCTCCCCCCCCCCCCCCCGCCGGTCCGGCTTCTCCGGGATGCAGTGGTGGACAAAACCATGTGTTCATTGACGACGTCATAAGTATGTTGTGCATCCTAAGGGCTACTTTCTCGGCCTGATGTACATCTGAAGGGATAGCATTTCCCTGCCTATGTAGCCGATATGATAAAAAAGTGTCGACAATTATTATACAAACAGATTGCTTTACACCCAGTGAGATCTTCCGCCGCCTCCGTGGTCCGGTGGAAAGATGCTGGACCCGTATTCCAGCGGCACTGGTTACGAGCCCCAGAGCGGGCGCATTGTTTGGCCCGACTGAAATGGGAAGGTCAACTGGGAACTGGCCAACGAGGGTCAACCCTGGCCCAAGGCGGCCGTGCCGCAACATAACGCGGCACATGAAACCCCTCCGCATTCCTGTCTGGCGTCAGGACGGAGGCAAAGTTATCCGTTGAACTGGACGGTGCGACTCGGGTGGTGGGCTCAGGGAACACGCAACACGCTATGCTTAGCAGGTTCCATGACCCCATTCGCCCGTACAAGCTATTAGGGATAAATTATAAAAAACAGATTCGGCATCGACTCCGAGGAACCATCCTTGCTTCTATACCTAAGTAGTGTATCACAAGGCTGCCATATGCATCAATAGATCGCAAGTGTGTCAGCACTAAAAATAGGCTCCAATCTACCCTGCTTTTCGTGCCTGAGCCCGTTAAAAGTGCCTCTTTCGACCTCTCTTTGGCTTCGGAACGCCGCGCTGGATGAGAGCTCGCCCGTGAAGAACTGAGGCGTCTTGTTTAACAAGCACATGACTCGAGGCTTTCATGAATCTGCGCTCGTGCGAAAATCTAACGGCCGTCTCCCACGTCCGCTGGCGTTCAACTATGACCGGCTCTGGGTCGCGTACAGGAAGGAGTGTTTTTTTAGCGTTGGTCTCGGCGTTCGAGCGAGCGCCTTACTCGCGAACTTCACGTTTCGGGCCAGACAGCATGTATGTTTGTATACATGTACAGAGTACGTGCGGAGGTCGACAATAAATATTGTGCAAGATCTGACCACGGTTGAGACAAGACGCACAATATGCCTCAGTTTCCCTCACACTAATGGCATGTACACCGGCGAAACGTTGGTTCCCACGTTCCAAAGTGGGTTGGTTCAGTGGGTTGTTCAATTTTTCACCGAACTATCGCTTCGGTATCCAGTGAACTCACCAGGGGGCTCATCCCAACCTTGCGGCCGGGGACAGGGCGCAGCAGAGGGCGTCACAGTCACTGAGCGATGCTCCCGGGAGACGTGCGGCCTCCTTGCCAGCAGAAAAACGAAATCACTTTATGGTATTGAAAGCATGACCCACTCGTCCCCGCCTGATCCTTAACGAGGGTCGATGGACCATTTAGCACCGTGGTAAAACTACATAACATTTCCCCGGTGACTGAACCGATGTTACCTTCTTGATTGTAATCTGATGGTGAACGTTAACGCAGATGGAACATAATTTACAGCATTCCGGTACGACTGCAGCCGGCCGTCGCACTCTACAATACAACGGTCAGAAACAAGAGTAAGTCTGGTAGAAATCAGTTGGCCTTCAGGGGAGCAGGAACTTACCACAGAGAATAGCACTCCTGTTACCAGTTACAATGGTTCGGGCATTCACTCCTAGTGGCAAAGGTCAAAATTTGCAAGAATACGTGCGCAGCGGGATGCGGGCTACAACAGCACGCCATTTTATGCTGATGCCAGTCTTGTCCAAATAAAACAACCTCCAAAAAGTACAGGACTAAACTATGTTGTTCTCATTTAACTGCGGAGTTGTGTGCTATTTAGATAAGGGCATTACGCCGTTGCTCCATTACAGCCTGCTGTTAGAAATGCAGATGCAGCACGGTGCACACAATCTACGTACACACATAGTGTAACAAGTACGCGAATGGAACGAAGCCCATGATACTTCCTCGAATAAATGCGGTCCAAGACAACTGTACGCGTAATGACTTCTCTCTGCGCTTAAATCGCAACGTTGCGCGCATCTTGGATGATATCACCACCCACACCGCATTTTGTATAAATTCGATGTTGTTTCAAGATACAAATACGGTTGCCTTCTTGCTGTTGCTAGAATTGTACCTGGCGTACGTGATGGTCGCTGCTGGCCCCTGGCCTCGGCCAGAGCTTCCTATTCCTCCGACTCCTGAACGGACGTCACCCCCGTTGTTCGCTGTTCTCAGTTGTGGGTGCCCATCACATCAGTTGGTATTCTGCGATGCTCCAATCCCGTTGAAGTAGATGCTGTTGATGCTAGACCTCACCGACACCCTTTGTCTGGCCTTGTTTATCCACCAGCTTAGAAATCCGGAGCCAGCGCAGTTAAATCAAGGCGATCTCAGCAACAACACTACCTGCTCCAGCTGTTTAGTCCCATTTAGTCGCATGTTTTCAACCGATCATGTCCGCGCGTTTGTGCTGTAAGCTGTATACAACTTACACACATAAAGTTCGGTATCTCATTCGGAGCTCACTCAGACAACAGAACCCCGACGCGCTCCCGGAAAACGTTCCGCAGAGGCTCTGAAACGCGACCCGGCGCATTACGACTTCAGCCAAGTGGCACGTGCAGTCGACGCCCGGTACCAGCTGCCTCGAAGACTTGGATCTGTCTTACCAAGTCTTCAACTCCGGATTGCCGCATGCAAGAAAACACGCATGTCGCGGCCCACGGTTTTCAGAGGGTCTGCTATTTCTCCTATGGGGTCCCATCTCACTTTTATGGCCTAACGACGGCCTGCTACGATAACCCGAACGGTGGCCTAAACGACCTGCTCCTGCAACCACCAATCGGCTTATGACAACAAAAAGCAGCCGCACGACCGAAATGTGAAAGCTGTTTGCTTTATTGGGTCTATGGTCTTGAGCTATGCTTGCAACACGCACGCGCACACGCACACACACGCACGCGCACACGCACATCATACAGGCACGCACGCACGCACGCACGCACGCACGTACGCACACACGGACAACAATGCAACCCCGATAATTAGAAGTATGGCGCCGGAAGCTGGGTCGATTTTGAAGTAACCATGTCTCACTCGCATCTCCGCTGTATGAGAAAAGGTCGCGTCCGATAATGGGTATCAGACTGTTGACTGGCGTATACAACATCACGCACTCAGTGTTGAAAATAAAAGTGCAGTGATTCAAACACTAACCATGCTTCTCCATGCATGGGACTATATATACACGCCACTAGTCCCGAGAAGCATCGTAAAGATTCCCAAGGCCTTTCGGTGTCGCGTATCACTGGGATATGAAACGGTCACGTCCTTTCAGAACATGATTAACATCCTATACCTTGGCACTGTTCAAAAACCCACAGCACACTGCACGTCATCACACCCAGTGCCCTGTCTGCCACCCCAGGCCAGCTAACGGAACAGTGAGCAGCCTCCGTCCTGCGTCAGGCAGGCTCACATCACCTAGTGTTAGCAGTAAACCGCCACGACTCAAGCTTTGGCAACACTCCCGCTACTCCGAGAAAGCCAAGCGTCCACCTAAAGGATAAATGTGGGTCACCAGCACCACGGTGGAGCTCCCAGGCCACACCAGGACCCGGTAGAGTCTCACAGACGACCCCGGCGCATCTTGAGGGTCCTACAGCCCGCAGCGGCGTCCCTCTGGCGTCACCCGGCCCGCCCCGGCGCCTCTCCGAGGCTTTGGCAGCCGGCACCGGTGTCTTTCCAATGTCCGACTGCCCCGTTCAGATGTGCAGCTCGGCTGCGTCGTCCAGTTGGCCTCTGTAGCGCTCCAGTACCGGCGCCACCTCCTCCGCCAAAAACTGCGTCACCTGGAGCGGAACGGCGCGTCACCCCCTGTCCCCTGGTCCGGTAGCCACACCCCTCACCTGGAGCGGGGCGGCGCGTCACCCCCTGTCCCCTGGTCCGATACCCGCACCCCTCACCTGGAGCGGGGCGGCGCGTCACCCCCTGTCCCCTGGTCCGGTACCCGCACCCCTCACCTGGAGCGGGGCGGCGCGTCACACCCTGTCCCCTGGTCCGGTACCCGCCCTGGAGCGGGGCGGCGCGTCACACCCTGTCCCCTGGTCCAGTACCCGCATCCCTCACCTGGAGCGGGGCGGCGCGTCACACCCCGCCCCCTGGTCCGGTACCCGCATCCCTCACCTGGAGCGGGGCGGCGCGTCACACCCCGCCCCCTGGTCCGGTACCCGCATCCCTCACCTCGAGCGGGGCGGCGCGTCACACCCCGCCCCCTGGTCCGGTACCCGCATCCCTCACCTGGAGCGGGGCGGCGCGTCACACCCCGCCCCCTGGTCCGGTACCCGCATCCCTCACCTCGAGCGGGGCGGCGCGTCACACCCCGCCCCCTGGTCCGGTATCCGCACCCCTCACCGCGGCCTCTAAGACTACCCAGGTCCAGGGCCTTCCCCAGTTTCCTACCAATTCTTGGAATTCCATCCTCTACTTTGGAAATTGCACCAACATGGGCAGAAATCTGCTTTTGTTTTTTGTTGTTTTATTTTTGACAGCCAACATCATTCTATCGTGCGCAAATTGATATGCATCTCAATTTATTGAATACCATTACACCTTATTTACTCGCGATCATTTTCTTTATTTTCGAGCGGTTCGTGCGGGATCCGCGTGACGACATCAGTAGTAACTGGGATTACCGGTTTGCGTAGGAGTTATTTGATACAAAAACACCCCGTCCCGCCCACCGGGACGGGCGGTCACCGCTCCCGCCACCGGACGGGCAGCCGCCGCCCCCGCCCCGCCCACCGGGACGGGCAGCCACCGCTCCCGCCCCGCCCACCGGGACGGGCAGCCGCCGCTCCTGCCCCTCCCACCGGGACGGTCAAACGCCACCCACCTGTTCAGCGGCGCGGCCGGTGAAGGAGGCCGGCTCGAGCAGCGCGTCCATCTGGCCGTGCACGGGCTCGAAGTAGGCACAGGCGCGCAGACGCTCCACCAGATCGTTGTCCGCACCCTCCTGCTTGACCCGGTCGCCAGCCGCCTGCGAAAGCTGCCGCAGCTGCTCGTGGCATTCCTGCCGACCGAGCGGAGCGGTCGGATCAGGTCAAATCAGGTCAGGTCAGGCACGCCGGCGACACGTCGGGGGCGGTACACGGAGCGCAAAGAGCAGAACAATCGTGACTATGACGGTCGACTGACAAAGCTCAAGCGATCTCGACAACTAAGCCAGAGGCTGAAAGATATTCAGACAGAGATATTCCAACCTTGGCAGGTTAGAAGGCTTTGCACTTTAATTGCTGAGAGGTCCAGACCACCATTCACCGAGATATATCCTCCTGCTGTGGCAACTCAACACGCATAACGACGTTGACGAGACACGGAAATATCGCGACCATTTAGGTTGAAAATGGTAACTCTGGGCCAATAATGAGACTGTAAGACCGGAATTCCGCGGTGGTTCGGGAGATCACCGCCACACAGACACTAACCTGTCGGTCGGCGCCCGCCTTCACCATGGCCATGATGATGTTCTCGGAGGCCATGAACGGCAGCTCCTGCTGGATGTGCCGCTGTATGACCCGCGGGTACACCACCAGGCCTTCTGTGATGTTCTGCAGCGTCAGCAGCAAACCGTCGGCGGCGAGGAACGCCTCCGACAGCGTGAGCCGGCTGCAGACACAGACAGCAGCGGTCGGAAGGGAACCGGGCGTCCCCGTCATGGCCCAGTGCCGGGCCTCAGACAATGGTAGGCGGGTACGAATCACATATAGCAGGGCCGATATCTCAACCTGACTTCTCTCTCGCCCGCCTCCCCCAGACGGGCGAGACTAACCGGTTGGCGGAGTCGTCGAGTGTGCGCTCCATCCACTGCGTAGCGGCCGTTGGCAGGGCGTTGGAAGGCAGCGCCATCAGGTGGCGCGCCAGAGCACAGCACCGCTCCGACCTGACGACAGGCGCACACGGCGTCAGGAGCGCAGTGTGGCGCACGGCGGCACGCGGCGTCAGGCGTGTGGTGCGGCGCACGGCGGCACGCGGCGTCAGGCGCGCGGTGTGGCGTATGGCGGCACGCGGCGTCAGGCGTGCGGTGCGGCACACGGCGTCAGGCGCGCGGTGTGGCGTATGGCGGCACGCGGCGTCAGGCGCGCGGTGTGGCACATGGCGGCACGCGGCGTCAGGCGCGCGGTGTGGCGTATGGCGGCACGCGGCGTCAGGAGCGCAGTGTGGCGCACGGCGGCACGCGGCGTCAGGCGTGTGGTGCGGCGCACGGCGGCACGCGGCGTCAGGCGCGCGGTGTGGCGCATGGCGGCACGCGGCGTCAGGCGTGCGGTGCGGCACACGGCGGCACGCGGCGCCAGGTGCGCGGTGTGGCGTATGGCGGCACGCGGCGTCAGGCGCGCGGTATGGCACATGGCGGCACGCGGCGTAAGGCGCGCGGTGTGGCGTATGGCGGCACGCGGCGTCAGGCGCGGCACGCGGCGTCAGGAGCGCAGTGTGGCGCACGGCGGCACGCGGCGTCAGGCGTGTGGTGCGGCGCACGGCGGCACGCAGCGTCAGGAGCGCAGTGTGGCGTATGGCGGCACGCGGCGTCCGGCGTGCGATGCGACCCAGTCGCCGAACACGTGGGTACGCACGCAAACACGCGTATAGTCGACCGACGTGTTAATTACTATAACGATGCGATGAACTTCACGCGGCACGTGAAAAACTTCAGCACGTCATCAGGGGCGCGGTCTGAATGGAATCTTATGGCGGTCACCTGACACTTGCAAAACCTTAAACAAATACTACAAGCACGACATGGCACTGCGGCACACCACGACCACAGCACACTCCCTCGCACCGGCTTTGCAGATCACAGCAGCGGTGCGTCCTACTAAGCCCTACGACCCCACGGTGTGTTCCCACGACTTGGCCCTCACGAGTGGACCAGTTCTGCCTGCTGCACCAGTCAGGCCGTTACCACGCGCCCCCTCACCTCATCGGGTTGCGTTTGTAGGGCATGGCTGACGAGCCGATCTGTGACTTTTCGAACGGCTCCTCCAGCTCCTTCATACTGGCCAGCAGGCGGATGTCGGTGCACATCTGCCGGTCAGCACCCGGTCAGCACCCCGTCAGCAGTCACGCGCGCACGGGCCGGCCATTGACTACAGATACTCCTGACACGTACGCTGAGACCAACATCGCTCCGCGATGTACACGTGCTAAGGGTCAAAGCCAAAGGACTAAAGACATGATGATTTGTTGACCCCACCGGTCAGAACGTCTGATTCCCGTGAAAGGAAATATAACGCGCTGAGGAGACACACACACACACAAAACACCCCCGCATATCAGCCAGACCAGTGCTCCGGTTTCCCGGGCTCCGAGGGCCCAGGCCCACGTGGGGGCTACGCCACCGACCTTATGCGCGCTGGCGCCTAGGCTGGCCAGTGCCTGCACCATCATCACATCCAGCTTGCGTGGGTACGTCTGTCCGCAGATGGTGTAGCAGGAGGAGAAGCCAGCCAGCTCCGTCACACGCCGATCCAGCCGCACCACCTTGTCGTGGTCACCTGATAGACGACGGCGGGGGTCGGTGAGTCAAGCAGCAGATAGCATGGCAACCGATAGCATGGCTACCTGATTGCATTTACTAGTAAAACACCGAAAATATTGTTTTATATCGTGATGAAACAATACACTTCAATGGCCACGCGAGATTAAATACACGCGCAAAACACTAACAACATGAATTTACTCCCAGATGTAGTGCGTGACATTCGAGTAAGTACAAGCTGGCCTTACAGACATCCACCTTGCAATGTTGGATCGGAGCACACCGGTACTGGAGCCATGCATGTTTTGGCCTTAGCAAGTAAGACCGGAGCGCGCGCGGACAGTGCCTCAGAGTCAGGCCCCTACCGGCGAACAGCTGGAGGAAGGAGGCCTGCGTGCCCGTGGTGCCCTTGACGCCGCGGAAGCGCAGGTCTTTCCGGAGCTGGCGCAACGTCTGCTCGTCCAGCACCAGGTCCTGCAGCCAGAGGCACGACCGCTTCCCCACCGTGGTCAGCTGCGCGGGCCTGCCCGGCGGAGACAGAAGCCCCCGGACTGGCGTTTACGCGAGGTCCTGTCTCAACCCCAGCTGGACCGACCCTCGCGCAATGCACCGCGTGAGAAGGGTGGCTGCGTTAGCATGAGCACGAGGTCGTGCAGCGGCGTAGCCATGGCAGACGGCCGACCATACGGTGGTGCTGATTCACGAGACCAGCCCGGGGTGTCGTGACCGGGCACCCGGGCACGCCGACTGAGGAAGGCGTCCTCCTGGCGTGGCCGGAGCCAGCGGGGCTGCTGATCCGGTCTGAGCGCGGCGGGAAACGGCGGGGGGGGGGGGGGGGGCAATACTCACTGCAGATGCGTAAACCCCAGGGTGGGCAGGGCGGCGTACTTCTCGGAAAAGATGCCCAAGCGCTGTATGCAGCGGCCCAGACGCGGCAGCAGGATGTCCAGGCCGTCTCGGATCACAATCAGGTCCTACACGCAGGCACCAGGTCCAAGATCAGTGGTCCGGTCCTGCTGCATTTGGTCAATTGTTAATGACCAGGTTCTGACGAGATCTGACCAACCACTGACAATCTGGCCCTTCTGGTTAAAATATTGTGAACAACATCAGACAAATCAGTCCAAGTAGCTGTTCCTGAAATCGTTCATAACCTGCCGCAGGGATCAGATGTTCATATCCTAATTCACACAGGTGATCAGAGCATTCTGCGAGGTCACCACAATATCCTTATGATATGTTCTGACTGGCTGACTTATGGATGCAATTGGGTCAGAAAAAGCATAGTTTGCAGCACTCTAACCCAATGCTGGGGAGCACCCACAATAACATCACACAGTTTTTACCACCAGACTGCAAAAGCACAAATCAGGTCTAGTTTGCAAGATTGTCAGCCAACCCAAAACATTTGTTTTCCGCTCCCACCCTATGTCGGTACAACATAGTATTAACACCATACAAATGCATCAAAACACTAACACTGCCTAGCACAAGTGTGGGTGCCATCACTATCAGCAGACCCAGGACCGCACCGTGTTGTCACCGACGAAGCAGGAGGTGGCACCCAGGTGGATTACGCCGGCCGCCAGCGGACAGGCAGCGGCGAACGTGTGCACGTGTGCCATGACGTCATGTCGCACGCGCCGCTCGTGCTCGGCGGCGGCTGCCAGGTCGATGTCTTCCAGGTGAGCGGCCATCTCGGCCAGCTGGGTATCCAGAATGGGCAGGCCCAGCTCCTGGTGGCGAGATTACACTGGTGAGGGGCGGCGACAGTGGTACACAGCCGCCTGATGCAAGTCACACTCTGGGATTTGCATGGAGAGAGGGGTGATAGTTTTGCTACCACAGACAGGCTGGTGATGCTGAAGGTTGGGATAGAGCTGATAGTGTTCAGAAAAACAAAACGAGTTCCTCGTGAGGAAGAGTTGGGCTGACAAGAATCTTGTACATCAGATGGCCAACCTAGCACACTCTGGAACTTATATATACCTGCTCTGCTTGAGCCAAATAAAGCCATAGTTTTCTCCAAGTGGAAAATTTCTTCTGGTCGCTGAAGTTAAAATTCATCTCTGGTGATGTGTACCGTGACGATAGAGGTGACTGATAAGTACTGCCACTAGTCTTGTCCATTTTTGGAGTGGCTTGGATCTTGACAATATATTCTGGAAGATGACAGTCATGTGAATAACATTTCACTGTGAAAACAGCCTTGCTTATTAATGCCTCAGTGGGGTGCATTAGCTTGAGTGTAATTGGTCACTTGAACCACACAATGAAAAAGGAAGAAACCTTGAGAAGAAATGATTGCTCTAGAATCACATACAGGACACTTGTTTGCCCATTTTTACACCACATTATACAAGATGCACAGTCTGTTTTGAAACTCAAGAATACTTACATACAAAATTAATCATGTGTGATGGGTTAATGCATTTATGGCCATTTACAACCTTATTGGTTCACCACCTTCCTGATATATTTCCTTGTTGCTGCCCAGGATCCCAAACCCTCAGGATTCACCTCAGGTTTGGGTTGTTTTCAGATGCGTCACTTCCTGTCCGAAGTTGACTCTTGAAAAATTTCTGATAAGTGGATACACAAGATGAAGGTGGGATTTATCAGCCCCGTTTTAATTAACGCCGAGCACACAAGGGTGGTGAAAGGTCACAGTGCGCAGAAATGACGACAATGGACCCATCACTTCCAGACCAGTCAGATAATACCGAACATTATAATTTGTATTTGGTATTGAATACGAACGCCAATCAACTCCCCATCAATTGAGCCGAACAACCAGGAATGCTTAATGCGTTGTGGTTTAACTCAAGATGAGATTAAATCTACGAGGATCTCCTTTGTCTGGGAAGCACCAGATATTTATGGACAATTTACTGTCATATACTAAACCAATTCCAGTTCCTAAGTAGTTTCAGTTCTGTACTTCAAAAGCGTTTCTGTTCTGTTGTCCAGGAGTAGGGATGGATCCAGGATTTCGTCAAGGGGGACCACGCAACATTGTGGAGCCCCCTGGAGTTCGATGCCACCTCCAAAAAATGTCCTCGCATTTCCGTCGTTATGTTTTAAGGCAAGTCGTATGTAACATGTGTATATATATATATATATATATATATATATATATATATATATATATATATATATATCTGTCTACGGCCGGAGAGAGTTCGTTAACGAATATGCTTTCCCAAATTTGCCAAAATTGCCAAACTTTCGCCCCCCCCCCAAATAGATATAGATATAGATATAGATATAGATATAGATATATATATATATATATATATATATATACAGATATATATATATATATATATATATATATATATATATATATATATATATATATATATATATATATATAACAGAAACATTCATAATGGGAACGCCACAGACACAATGAGAACATTATTGCCACAATCATATCAGTAATGCTCACCGCCCACCACCTAATAGTTCAATAGATCTGCGAGGCTTTGTCTGTCTGTTTACGGCCGGCGAGAGTTCGTTAACGGACATGCTTTCCCAAATTTGAAGGCGTCTTCTGTCATTGCACATCCGTAAAATGTCGGTGCTGTCTGTCAGTTGTTGTCGTGTCAATGCCATGTCGTGTTGGTGTCGCATGTGGTCCAGAGGTGCCCCGTTGCGTAAGTGCATTGTCAGGCGTAGAGAGTGTCGTTGTGGCTACACCAATGTAGTGTATGGAACGAAGTTTGCAGCCTTCGATGTCGCATGTGAATTGCTACACTACATTAGCGCATTGTAGTTTGTCCGATTTGTCTGGGTTGTTTCTCATAAGTTATATATTTTCTCATTACGATAATAAATGACGATATCTATTTTGTGGTCGTTTTTTTTGCTTTTGATATGTCGAGATATTTTCCCGCAAAGCTTTTTCGTCTTGTTTGTGGGTATGTGCCATTTGATTTCGATAATACAGTTTGACGGCTGGTTGGATGTCTTGTCTTGGTTTGCCGTCAAAGTGTCTTGTCATATGTCGTTGTTTCCAAGGTCAGAATTTGAAAAACCTTCGTTCACCAAGACCTGTCTGATCCTTATCAATTCTGAATGTAGTCCTGTCGAATCAGAGCAGTGCCTAAATGCTCGTCTAATGAAGGGCCTTATGACGCTAACTTTGTAGCGTCGAGTACGCTCACTGTCAGCATTCAAGCACCGCCCGCCGTTAGTCTGTTTTCGGTATACAGTCGTCTTGAATTGTTGTCCTTGTCCATCGACAGTCACGTCAAGGAAGGGCATTACGTTTTGCACACTTAGCTCTGTTGTGAATTTTGAGCCAGACTGCTCTTCAAAGGTGTTTTTGAGACGTCCTAGTTGGTCAATGTCCCTAACTTCCACAAAGGTATCGTCTACGTAGCGGCAGTAAACGTCCGGTCTTATGTCGTCACTTTGTAGTATGTCGGCTTCTACGTGTCCCACATAGAATTTGGCGAATAAAGGTCCTAGAGGCGAGCCCAAGGGTGAGCCCATCGCAACACTCTCAATTTGGCAATACATTCGGCCACCGAGCCCGCAGAAAGGAACTTCCAACGTACAGGCTTTTAGTAATTGTTCAAGAAGGCGCTTTGATATCTTGAAAGGAGGAAATTCGGGATGATTGTAGACGCGGTCAAGGATAATTGATATGGTTCTTTCAATGGGCATGTTTGTGAGTAAATTTTCAATATCTAGAGAGGCTAGTAGACCGTTAGGTTGGCGAGATCGCACTACATCAATACACTCATCCGTTGACAAGCTGCAAGACATGGGAAGATGTGGGGACAAAAGATCATTAAGACGTTTTACAATTCTATAAGTTGGTGAAGGGATCTGTGAAATTATTGGACGAAAGGGGTGGCCGTTTTATGTGAGTTTTTACAGACCAATAAGCATAACCAGACGCAAACTCACCCGTCATCTTGGAAAAGTGTATGCCATCAACAGCGGCATTGGCACCAGTGATTAGTTTGTTAAGTTTGGTCTTGAGATTGTCTGTTGGATCTTTTGTGATGCGCCGGCATTTCTTATCGCCGTTCAAGATACAGTTTAGTTTCTCATGATATTCTTTTTTTTGTAAAATATTGCGTACAGTGATGACTTGTCCGCTCGCCGAATGGTGATGTCTTTTTCTTGAAGTTCCTCTGCCGCCATTCCGAGTCCATGTGTGAATATCTTGCTCCTATCATTTCCACGCTTTTTCGTGCTCTCTCCCAGCAAACTGTTCTTTATATCCTTCTCTATGGTAACTTTGTCCTCTTTTTCCAAATTCGAGATATCCTGGTAAAAAATTAAAGTTCTACTTTCTTCTTAAGTTTATCATATTTCAACAACACATAACAATTAAGTCCAAGATCAAGCAACTCTTTTTGTTCCTCAGTAAGATCATGGTGAGATAAATTGATGTAACCATCGGTAGTTTCCGGTAATACTATATGACCACCATAGAGCCTTGGGAGCTTTTTCACGATTCTGTTTCTAGTAAGACGTCTAGCATCACATTCAATCACGTCGAGTTCGTCAAGTACTTTTTGTTTTAGTTCATGTTTAGGGCAACATCTCTGTAGCTCTTCTTCTAAAACTTTTTTTGGGTTGGCATGGGTTTAATGTAGGGCATATCTGCTGTAGGGCAATCTGCCACATGGGTGTACCATAGGGCATATAAAGCATATATATATATATATATATATATACTTATACTTATACTTATATATATTAATATATATATATATATATATATATATATATATATATATATATATATATATATATATTTTATATACATATATATATATATATATATATATATATATATATATATATATATATATATATATATATATATATAAGTACATATATATGCATGTATGTATTTACTTATTCATTCATTTCATAAATATCCAAACCCATCTTACTGTGTGGATGTGCCTTAAAGCAAGTACCTTATAAAGCTAGGCGTGCTACGCATGCACCCACATATAACTCACTCATTTTCTACAGGTCATGTTAAATGCCGTGATTTTGAGACTCAGTGTTTCATAACAACAGACAACTACTTTTTCAGAACAACTTGAGTTGGCTGCGAACAACCTTTAAAACCAAGCAAAACCAAGCATGGACTTCATTCCTCGCTTATGTTTTTACCACTAGCCAGCTAGGGGATGTAATCAGTTGATGGCTGCCCAGCCAGCATTCACAAAGGGACCCACATGGGTTTAATGTAGCACAACTGGGTTAATGTGGGCGTGGGCTGCAGGTGGACTTTTAACTGGGCTCCAGCTGGGCCCCACATGGGGCACCTACATCATTTCGTATTTGTGCATACATGGGAGCTGTCTGTCTTGTACTGTTTGTCAGAATTTATCATGTCAAGAAGAAATCACTCACCAGGAGGGAATACCTGCATTGGTGGGATGCATGTACGCCACATGGGCAAATGTCAATGTAGGCTGCTGGTGGGCTGGCTTAATCTGGGGCCAAGATGAGCTGCCCGTATGTTACATGCACAATAAAGTTGCCACATGTACAACACTGATGTGTACACCAATTGTTTCATTGTCTAAGGTTTACCATATTGTGTACAATTATTCCAACACATGGGACTGCTCCTTGGACTGGGGTCCATATGGGGCTGAGCAAGTGCTAGCTGGGCTCATGTTCATGTAGGTTGTAGGTGGGCTGGTTTGCAAGCTACATCTGGTACCCAGGTGAGTTACCAGTATGCTACTATATTTGGTGCAGGTGCATTAGGCTTGTTACCTTGTGCTCCTGCATTGAATTTTTCCTTATGGTATGCAAGTGAGTATATAACAAAGAAGAACAGAACAGGTTGGGGCTCAAATGGGATGTATGCGGGTAAGTCAGGCTCATGTCAACATGGACCGCAAATGGACTGGTCTGTTGTATGGGCACCAACACTTGAGCAAGAATCTTAACAGCAAAGGCTTATTTGACAGTCACTGGAGCAGCAAGTGGCTGGACCAGTATCTGAAATTCAGTTTTGGCTCTTGGGGGAGAGAACAAAAATATTACAACTACAGCTTGTAGTGAGAATAAAATAACCCCAGTAAATTTGCACTGCATTCACAGCTTGCACTTAAGGACATTCTTTGGTAGCAGATGACTGTAAACACCATGCTCTAGTGGGTCTCAGTGATTGCCAAAGACCATTAGAAATTGGCTGGTTGCAATTCTTAAATTTTCTAGCCTCGTAACTAAGTGCTTCCTTCCCAAGTCCATGCTTGCACCTAATGTATTTTTAAGCTATGGAGGGTCATGGTATACATTGCTACCTCATGTTAAAAAAGAGCGTTGTACATCAGTTGTCGTTTTTAATGCAGAACATATCGTACCTAATTGCAAAAACGAGTCATCTAAACACTTACCTTGGAACTTAAATAACTACGATAGCGAACATCCGAACACCGCAAACACGCAGCAATCGCGCCGCCTATTAAGCTGGATAGAATGCCTGGATAGAAATAGAATTTAGCCCTTCCCCAACTTTGAGAAAAAAGAACATAGTTTGCACCATTTCTTCGGGATAAAAAATTCATCTGCTCACCCACTCTACCAATTTATGTACACAACTACACCACGAGCGACGTCTGGCTGCTGCGTGACCGGGGGTCAGAGGCCAACGCAGCAGGGGCGGAGGAATTATTTCCCCCTAACAGAGCAATCCAGCGGCCTAAAGTTAGCATCACTACATCTACTCACCGGCGTTGAGTCTGATACAAAACTTTTCTCGACGTATGACACCGAGCTAAATTAATATTACGCCTTTATCTACACCACCGACCATTCCCGCTATCACCACCCCTCGCGCGGCTCATCCAAAACAAGGTCGGTAAGCTATATAAATAGCGCACACGCAATAGCAGTGTTCAACGACAGGGACGCTGTATGTTAGTTATCTTTCAGTATTCCTTTTTAGGACCTTTTTATTTTGTTCATGCTATTGGTTGGCAAAACCCGGCTAGAACAAAAGGTAGATATCTAAAGACGTAAATAATCATATAAATACACAAGTAAAAGTTATTCTCGGCGGAAAAGAGGAGACCCCGCTTTAGCCTTATCCTTAGATCATGATTCTGTAGCGACGCTCTGTGGACCGATAGAACAATGTCATGCTTTTGTTTAATGACGCTTTAATGCATTTTCATCACGTATTGAGCTCGGATTTCTAAGCGGAGAATATGTCTTCTCTCCAATGCTAAATCCTCCCCAAGGGCCGGAGACTCGAGGAGCCCTGGCTTTTCGCGTGCCCAAGCGAGTGATTGGGATGGTGTTTGACGTCACCAGTATACGTTCTATGCAATACCGATTTTTGATAGTTTCAAATACAACGTTAATAAAAGTGATGGTTAAAAAAGAATAAAAAAGTTCATTCATCAATATATGATTAATTCATGCTATATTTAAGGGGTACATATACCTTCGTATCAGTTTTTTCTTTTGTTACAATGATTTCTACGTACAACCCAGAAACGTTGAATCGTGCCGCGTACGAGATATTATCTACGCTTCTCCCAGGTCCGCCGAGAGGCGCTGTGGCTTTCGGTGCTGGCACGGGCCTGGTGTATGGGCGCGTCCGTGTCGTTATTGGACGGTAGGTGGGTTAAACATGTGCTGGTGAGCAGCAGCAGAACCGGGCACTGGATGCATGGCAAGGATAGATTATGTGTGATATGGTAGAGAGATTCGGCTGTAACCCGCAAACAGTACCCGTCGTTCAGCCGTGAGTCTGGCGCGTCATGCTGTTGAAGTTGCAGAAACAGCTTGCCTCCATCGCTCACAGAGAACAATTTTTTAAATTCCTTAGGTGTATGTTCGTGGAGAACAAAATGTTTTTGGGCTGAAAACACCACGAAACACCCAGGTTTCAGACACTGGGCTGGACTGTCCTATGCGCGTGTCGCTGCGTGAGAGAGAACGGATGTTGGCGGAGCTTGTCCGGTGCCGCTAACGAAAGGCGCGTAAGACATCATAAAATAATTCGCCAAATGAAAGGTTTTTACTAGGTGGAACTTTTTCTGTCGGCGTGAAAAAATAATATAAACAGTAGGAAATGATTGTAGGTACAGCTGGCGGAGCTGACGTGACAAGTTCCAGTGAAATCTGATACTGCATAGGGCACGGTGGCATCTAGCGAATTGGGCGGCAGACGCATTTTCAGTGGCGCCGCCTACAACTTTCATGACGCCACCCGCGGCGGCCGTGCCGTCTACGGAGGCGCTGGTGCCTACAGGTGACGCCGTCTACAGGTCTTTTGAGCTCCATGTTGAACCCAGATTGGTTGCCCATATGTTACATACGCAATAAAGCTGCCATATACACAATTACGTGTATATCAATTATATTTATTGCTTTGAGGTTTTGCCATATCGTGAACAATTATTTTACGTGTGCCATCCCCATTCTCACGTCCATGCAGGTTGCGGGCGAGCTGATATTTGGGCTGCATCTGGGACCCAGATGGGCAGCCCATATGCTACCATATTTGATGCAGGTGCGTTAGGTCTGCTCCCTTGTGCTCCTACGTTGGACTTTTCCTTATCGTGTACAAATGAGTGCATAACAAAGGAGAGCAGCACGAGTTTGGGTTCAAATGGGATACATGTGGGTGAGTCGAACTCATGTCAACATGTGCTGCAGGTGGGCTGGTCTTCGGGCTCCATGTCGGACCCAGGTGGGCTGCCCATATGCTGACATCTTTTACACCAGTACATTAGTTTTCGGACTTTCCTCTCCATGGTTGGATATTTTCTGATCGTGTACAAGCTAGTTTGCAACAAAGGTGGGCGACATCGACTGAGATTCAGACGGGCCGCAGGTGGCAAGCTGGCCACATGCCAGCATGGGATGCAAGTGGGCTGGTGCCCGGGCCCTGTCTGGGACCCAGATTGGCTGTCCATATGCTGTGATATTGACTATGTGCGTAACATTTTTCGTATCGTGGGTTTCCTGGTTCCATTTTGCCATTCCAGGTACCAACAAGAGGGATTGCTGGCATGAATTCCATCCGCATGGACTGCGCGTGGGCGAACCTAGCTCAGGCCAACATTGACCGATTCACTGGCATGTCACTTGAGGCAGTTGGCGTGTTCTGTGTCGGATGTTTGTGTGCTAAGGGCATGGAGTGAGCCGTCTATTAGCGTTTCACCGGTTGATGGACCGCTGCTCACGTTTGGAGCCCCCCCCCCCTCGATAATTACGCGTGTCCTGCTGACCGGTCGCCCGCTGGGATCTCGGCCGTGGCGAGTAGGGTTTGGCATGACCGGCCCGCTGACCGGCACCACCGCAACCCCTTCAGGGGCGCGATGGTGCCGCTCAGCGGGCCGACTGGCTAGACGGGCCGGCTGGCCAGGTGGGCCGGCAGCACCGAGCACACCTCTAACCCACTGTCTTCTAAAACCTTGGTCGGAGTTTCTGATGGTTGCACGCAACTGATCAGATGCAGTTTCTTTGAGCTGCTTGGTGCTCAACGAACATAGGCCCAGAGGGTCATGCTTGGACTCATCGACAGCTTTAGTGTCAGAAATCCGGCGTGGGCGACTCCACGCAATTATTTCAATATTTGGAAGCTAATATTTCAGTTACCAACGGTCTGTGAAGACTTCCAGCATGTGGAGAGCTGTCCGTCCATGGCATTGGTGGTTGGGTGGTGCGATTGGCTGGTCAGCTGTTGACAGCATTCGAATGGGCGCTGTGTCTCCTCAATGTAATAAGCCTGGAACCAGTACTCCCAGCTGACAAAGGGTGCCTGATCATTTCGTTCCTTGCGATTTAGCTCAGCCACCAATTTTTATGAGCCCACTGATATATCTTTACGCAACTGTATTTGTAAGCCAGGAGGGTATTCGGATGCCTCATCGTATTGCGTCGTTTCACTTATCCCACTAGGACAGATCAAATGTCAATTTTTCCTGGGAACGAGGTTCTTCAGCTTTGCATGCGCATGTTTGCATAACAGTGCAGCTTAACAGCAAACAACTTTCACAAACGCTGGTTTTGTTTAATTTTGGCTACCATTTTATATATATGTAAACATATATGCATCAATATATGGGATGTGTTTTGAACATACGTTTATCATGCATGGCTCTGTTGACACAACAGTGTTGGCCGCCGTGCGCCATCGGCGGATCCGTCGGTTGCCGCCCGCTGCGCGCGCCGGCCGTGAGTCGCCATACAGTATTCCGACAAAATTTTGCTTTTCAGAAATCAGGCTGATAGAGAAACGTTTCTGACGTCAAAACGCCCAAAATGAACAGCCACTTGATGGCGAAACATTCGGCGTGATTACACGTTCCAGAGAGATATCCTCAGAAACTTCGGGAAGGGGTAAGGGTGCATCGCCCTCCCCCTTAGCAGGGAAAGAATTAAAGCATATAACTGTGAATTCATATATGTGCGATTCTACGTACGACATGGACGTGTCGAAAAGCATCTATGGATATTCCTATGCGGCATGATTCAAGGAAAAGAAAAAGGGATGATAAGCCATGGCTTGAAGTGTTTGCCACTTCAAAGCTGTATATCGTTCTGAAAGAGCGCTGGTGAATTGTAGGTCTAGAGCCAAACGTTCAACATTATCTTGCAACTAGAAACCATTCGTCAGGAAAGGGTGCCCGGCAGATGACGCTACGATCACAACATTTAAAAAAATGATCCGCTAGGTCAAAGAGTGAAAGTATATACCATCGGTTGCCACCGCCAAACGGTTGCCTTCATTTCATTTATCGTATGCTTTTAATTCGTCGCATTCACGTGTAATCCAGACACACCAGGAATGAACAATGCTGTATTTTTCGTGTACCATTTGGCAGGAGGACTGTCAGAAACCTCCTCACAAAAGCCCTTGTGTGTGGGAGGGGGAGGGGGAGGGGGATGGGCGCCGCCTAAGCCAAATTGCCACCTAAGATCGGTGATAATCGTTTTTCTGAAGCCTGTACTGTTTTACACGTGGTTATGTACAATCCTTCTTCGCGTGGCTTTTATTAACGTGTGTGTTACGTTACTTATGCTATGAACATTTGTTGAATGTTATACACCTTCAAAATTCGGAATTTGTCCAGCGCAGCTCTGAGGAACATTGTACATGCATAAGACAGTGCCGATAGCCTATTCCTCCTCAATTTTCAGGGGAAAGGAAGAACGATGCATGTAAATTTTGTAGTGTGTTCATTATCAATAAAGGGCGCACTAAACCTGAAATCCAGAAAGGTGCAGGCCGTATAACCTTTTTGGAACTCAGTCAGGTATAGACCACAAGAACGCACTGAGCCTGAAATCCAGAACGGTACAGACCGTATAACCTTTTCAGAACTCAGTCGTGGATAGAGCACCGGATCATCCAGGAAGGAAAATTAGTGAGCCCATTCTTAAAAAGTCGGCGACCAGACCTAAACGTACAGGGCTCATCATCGCCGATTATGCGAATCTGATAAGTACCTTAATGTGTGATGTTTGCTAGCCTGAAATTGTTGTTATGCTATTACAACAATTTTATATGAGTGATGCATGATACGTGGCGCATGATGTTCGCATTTTGATGAAACAAACTATGTCCCTGAGGAGCTGTAGGAATTTTTGCGTACAAACACATTACCATCATTACAACTTTACGTGAAAAGGTGTGGACACTTACAACGGCTTTTTACCGCTGAAGGGATTGGCCACAAAACAACTCATACGATTCTTCCCATGAACTTTTTCGCTCAGAATATGTTCGCTACGATAGTTTCTCGGCGAACATTTTGTCACAAAAGCTGTATTTTTTGTAGCTTTTTGCGTGTTTTTTTTGTATAATGAGATCTTTCCCATACCTTTCGTTTTACTGTACTTAGGCATACAAACGTATCTTAAGAAAGATTGCAGAACGATTTTCTTCTATGCGTACTCTTGACCTCGACAGAGATCTTGTCACAGCCACCAGATGACACCCGAAGAGTGTCGTCTCTGCTCACGGACAATAGTACGCAGAGAACAGGCCGATTGACAACTGTTTGCAAATTACAAGTTTGCACGCGGAAAGACCGTC